GGGGGGGGGGGGGGGGGGGGGGGGGGCAGGCATATAGGGAAGGAGCTGCTGCTTTCTTCCATGGCTATGTCTCACAGTTTTGTCAGGATGCTGTTCACATCCAGCTTGTCTTCTTTGAATAGCAGAATGAAAAATGTTTCATTAAGGTACAGAAATAGCATGCTGGAGAGAATTTGTTGTCCCAGAGTGTGCCTGTTGGTGAAGCAGGCAATGAAAATGTTTCCTTGCAAAGGACAAGCAGGAGTCAAGTATGGTAAACAGCCCATGCCACTGAAGCTGCCTTCTCCAACTTGGTGCCCCCCCCATTGCCTTGGGTTAGCTCTCAGAGGGTAAGTAGTAACAGCATAAAGAACAGGCGGAGGGTGCTGTCTGGGTATCAGCACTGAGCCCCATTGGAGTGTGGCCCTCGGCAGGAGTCTGAGCTCCTGTGCCAGGCCTTCTCCTCTGGGTCTGTTCCCTGCAAGAGTAGCAGCTCTACCTGTGGACAGCCCATCTGCCTCATTTCTGGGGATCCCCTTCCCCCTACAGCCCCCACTTTCTCCTGACTCCTGTGCGGCATTTTCAGGAGTCTGCCACGGGAAGGAGAGGACAGAGAAGTCTCCTGCCAGCACAGTTGATTGCATTTAAATCCAAGCAGTTCATGGCAACTTCTGCACAGAGTCAAGTATACGTGTGAACACGTGCTGCTTCTGGTCCGCTGAATGTGTGCCAGATGGTCCCCACCCCTGCAGGAGCATCACCACCGTGCAGGTATCCTGTGCACATGGATATCCTGGAATGGGCAAGGGTCCCCTTGTTCAGCTTGCCCCTCTCCTCCACACAAGGACACACATCCCACCTCCCTTCCCCTTGCTCTGCAGGCATCCGAGACCTTTTAAGGCAGGGCTGAGCCAACCTGTTTAGATCACAGGGGCAACTCTTCCTCAGAGCAGCCAGGAATGGCCACGCTGGCTGGGAATTCTGGAAGTAGCAGTCCATCACATCCAAAAAGTGCCAGGTTGAGGAAGGCTGTCGCAGAGAGGAAGAGCAAAGCTAGCCATGCTAGTTATGGGACCCGTGAGGCACAAGAATTGCTGGGACACAACATGCAACATCCCATAAGGACTGCGGGTATGCCTTCAAAATTTTCATTATGAATGAAATAGCAGGTAAGTCTTCTGCCACATGTCAGCTCTAAGGTTCCCGGAGGTCAGTAAGTCACTTCTGTTTTAAGAGACATGCACAAGGGTGAAGAATCTGAGACTCTCTTGATGTTGGACTGCAAATCCCATCACCACCAACCCGGTCCATTAGCTATGCTGTTTGGGATGATGGGTTTTGGGTCAGCTGGAGGACTACTGGTTCCCCCTCCCTGCTTTAAAATGAAATCTCAATATTGAACAGAGGCAAACAAATGAAAAGCACTGGTATTTATCTTGTGTTTTTTAAAAAATTACAAAGCATTTTTTTTTCAGTTAACATAGAAATCCAAGATTTTCTTCTTAAATATAGCGATTCATTGGTAACAGAGTACAGAACTTTGTTGTTAAAAACTGCAATAGATATATACTAGTGTTAAAGGCAAACACTTGATGTTCAAGGCATCGCATTATAAATTAAGGCTTAAATTTTCACCCATTGCCAGGTAGTGTCAATGCACTAGCATAATTCCGTACAGTTAGCAGGAACCATAATTCTGAAAAGCATCCTAGGACAGGGGGAAACTGCATCAGATTAGCTTGTAAACTCGCAGGGCTGCAGTGATGGGAGAAGTATACCTAGGCTAAATTTCCCTTGGAAGCAATCTCTGAAGCTACAAGATATTCTTTTTGATATGGACCCAATTACGCTATCCCTCCACCCAGTTATAAAGTCCGGAAGTGATGGATCTCCGACGTCATCCTTTACCCTCCAAGTTGTGATAATTGCCTGCCCAGAGCTGTTTAAGAATCCCAGAACAAAAAGCCAATATTCTAATCTAGACTAGAATTCCCAGCAGTCCCAGGCAGCATGCCCATAGCCAGGGATTATGGGAGATGGATTTCAGCAACCTCTGGGGGGGCACACAATTCACCCGTCCTGGTTTTAAATATGTTGTAGTGGACATGAGCAGTGTAAACAATTATGCTCCCACTCTAGCAGAATCAAACCTAGATATCCGGACTGCCAGTTTAAAAGCCTGATAAGCGCAGCATCTGAAGGCAAGAATATTTGTGTGCAAACCAGATCTATTTAACAGAGGTTCCCCAACACTACCAGCCTCTCCTCACCAACCCTCCATCTCATGAATATTTTTAAATGAATGTGATCCAAAGCTTTAATAAACTATTCATTATTCTGAAGGAAAAGTTAAAAAACACTCCCTTAAGCTTTATTATTTAGGGCTGGCAGTTTGACAGGAACCTTTTCCAAGGCACTTTCTTCTGCAAATCTCCACTTCCAAAGTCCTTCAGTATATCTAAGACTAAAGGGGCTTGATGAAAGAACAAGCAAGCAAGCATTCTGCATATTTGCGAACAATGACTTCGGAGTCTCAGTCCTTGAAAATATGTATTAAGAAAAAGAAAACTCCCACAGCCCAATCCCCAAGTAATCCAGGCAGCTACTGGATAAAATAAAATAATTTTTAAAAATAATTTTTGCTTGCTATCTGAAATTAAAATTCTATTCTTGCAAAATAATTTTGTCATAATCTCCACAGTAAAAGCTCAATAAGTAATTTAAAAATAAATAGAAAGGTGCTGCTGATTAAAAAAAACAGATTTACTAACGTACACTCTTTCTCTCTGGTCATAGCATAATTCTACAGAACTGACACACCTATTTCTTTTAAAAGACTAATAGGATCGTTATGCTTTTAACAGTTGCAGAGTTTCTACAGATGCAGTTGTCCAAATGAAGGAGGACACTCTGCCATTTCCCTGCCTGCCTGCCATGCAGCCGTCAAAAACACAGAAGAGGCAAGGGGAAAAAAGACCCCCTCATTTAGATTCCCACAATTATTTCTCACTGTTCTCCCAGAACAAGTGACAGATCTTCGTGGGCCTAATACATCCTTTTAGCTAGGGATAGGCAAGTTGAGGCCCTCCAGATATTTTAACCTACAGTACCCATCAGCCCCAGCCAGCATAGCCAATACTTAGGAATGATGGGAGTTGTGGGCTGAAACATCTGGAAAGCCACAACCCAGTCCTGCTTTTAACCCTCTGTAAAAGTCTTCCCCAATTCCACAGATCCTGAACTGCAATTCCTATTATTCCTACTGGCCTGGGATAATGGCAGTTGCAATCCAAGACACCTGGGGAGCACTAAGCTGAGGAAGGCTGCTCCACAGTCCTTTTCTTCCGAAGCATTTGGGTTTGAACCCAGGGCTGCTCCTGTACAGGGTGCTAATCCGAGCTATAACTCTGTATTCACGTTGAGCGAGCCACAGCAAGGTAGGCACACGGGAAGCCAGCATTCTTGGGTTCTTCCTACAGGCCACTAAAACCTGAGTGCATAAAAGCAAGAGCAGGTAAGACAGATTGCATTGGTCAGGGCTCAGCATGCAAGGCAGCCCTCTGCTAGGCACCCTAAGCCAGAACCCCCCCAAAATGGGACCCTCTCCCCATCTGGCACACGCACACTCTGCTCAGCTCTCCTTGTGGGCTGCAGGGCCATTTTGAACAAGCAGGTCCCCATAGGCAGCCTCTTCCCGGGAGAAGACTTGGAACTTCTTGTCCAGCTGGGCTCGGAGGTAGAGGTAGTCCTGCTGGTCGAGGCTGTGGGTGCAGGTGATGTAGGCCGTGAAAAGCAAGGCAAGCAGCAGGCGGTCAAGGGAGAGGCAGGGCACGGCCCAGAGGATGAGGAGGAACTCCAGATAGACGGGATGGCGAAGGTGGGAGTAGAGGCGGACAGCGCGTGAGGACTTCACGGCCAAAGGGTCTCCCATGCCCAGGCAGTGGTAATACACCTGGAGAAGGACCAGGGGAGAGAAGCTTGTTTGCATTGTGCATAGATGAGCCAGTCCATGGCAACCTGAACCTCGGGCCACAGACCACATCTGGGCCCCTCAGTCCTGCCCTCTGGAATTCCCTCTGGGGCCATGTGCCTTCCCCTAACGCCATGCCCTTTTCCAACCACTCACTACTTGGGGGTTTCCCAAGTTTTCCCCCCGTGGTGAAATGTCAAAATGCCTCTCCTACTTACTAGCAGTAGGTGCTTTAAGCCTACTATGGCTGGTATTTTTGGCCCTGCCCTCCACTGGGAGCCAGACCAGAGAGTATCTCTGGAATTGCATTTGGTCCATGGGCTGAAAGAGGCTGAGCATCCCAGTCTGCAAGGCAGAGTCCCGTGTCCTGCTGCAAGGCCCATCTCCTACCGCTGCTTCCCAGAACTTGGCTTCACTGGTGGGTCATCACTGAGCGTGAGGACCCCTGCAGTTAACAGTTCTTCACAGATGGACCCCAAGGGTGCTGCCTGGTCTGGTAGCCAGGAAGAGGCTGGGGGGGTGGTCCCCCTATTTGTGTCCTTTTTATGAACAATTAAAAACAGTTTGTGATGTTCTCTTTAAAAGGCCGCCAAACTAGATGGGTCACCTCTCCACTTTTTTGGTGTCTCTCCCTCCAGGACTTTAAGACTGCCTACAGGCTTGGTGGCTGTCATGGCCTCCACTGCCACCTCTGCTATCTTAGAACAACCATCCCTGCAGTCCTGGGGGTGACATTTTTACTGAAAAACAATGACACCAAGTCAGGACATCTGACACAAAGCATGTACATGGCTGCTTGGCTTTAGCCTTGGTGCACAAGAAGGGTTTCCATGCAAGAGGACACATCTTCTGAAAAAGCACATTTCTCTCCCTCCCTCCCTTTTTAAAGAAATAAGAGTATCGGCTGCCAGAACTGGCAACATCTGGCCCTTCCAGATGTTTCAGTTCGCAGCTTCCATGGTCTGCACCCATAGGCTAGTTAGGACTGATGAGAGTTGTAGGCTTAAACATCTGGAAGGATGCAAGATGCCCGCCCCTTTCTTATATCTGCATTTCTTGATTCATTCAGCATTGCTGAGCTCCATCCTTGAATTTGGAACTGTGACCTCTCTAGAAGGGGGTGGGGCAAGTGGCACAGTACCTGTTTGACCCCCATCAGCTCTGCATAATCGAAGATGAGGATGATGCTGAAGATGACCAACCAGGCAATGAAGTGGAGGATGAAGCAGATGAGCGGGACCCAAGTGATCCATGGCTCGGTGCTCACTTTCCAGAGCATGGGGCCATCTCGGACTGGCTCCCAGTACCTCATCAGCAACTAGAAGGGATAGAGAAGATGCACTCATAGCATGCTTCTGCAGACATGTCTAACAAGGATCCATGTGGGTTTCATATCTGCAATCATGTTCTGGTGAGAAACTCCATGTTACGCAGGGTCTGGAGACATTAACCAAATCACACAAATCATGTTTTGAAAATGCAAGTTAAGGTTCTAGTCTTCATTACTACTGGGTTTGGAAATATCTGCCCACTTCTTCAGAAGTAAGTTAGAAGCTTAGTGGAAAGCTCTCTTGTGCTAAGCTCACAAGTATGACTTGGGAGCCTGTGCTCAAGAAAGAACTACAGCAAAGAACAAAGATGAAAACTGGAGCTGCGAAGGAGCTTATTTTGGCAACCTCACTCTCCTACCTTCAGCAAAGTGCAGCTTCTTAAATCCAGATAGTATTCATTGGTTCACAATGACTTCTTCTGCATCTAGAAATTAGACTGGGCAGGAGTTCATCCACAGCTTCTCTAGTGTCTCACCTATGAGACTCCTTCCTCTCTTAGAAGTCTAGCCTTCAGAATGGTCCACTTTGCTACCCACCTGGAGAGCCAGTGCTGTGCAAAAGACATAGAAAGATCTCTGCAGGACCCCAAAGCAGCTGCTGGTCCAGCGTTTGACCCGGTCAGTGGCCATCAGGCTGTGCTGCAGGATGAAGAAGACTATCAAGCCGACATCCACTGTTAGTGGATGCAAAATCTTGGGGTCCCTTAAGGCAGCTTCCCACTGAGGACTAGAGGCAGCATCTGCAGAGAGAGAGAGAGAGAAAGCTCAAGTGACATCCAATTTAACAGGATGGGGCTTTCCGAAGATCTCAGATAGTCTCCCACAACCTAATGCTAGAACAGCAATGGGGAATGGGTGCCTTCCCATGAACATCACCCATCATCCTTTGCCATTGGCTATGCTATTCAAGGCTATTCAAGGCTATGCTATTCAAGGAAGTTGCAATCCAACATCATCTGGACAACCACAGGTCTTTAGGGCAGGGATGAGGAATATTTGGTCCTCCTGCCTTTGTGCCCCATTGCTTTTACTCAAAGCTTGTGTTAAGTCTAAAGAAGGCCAAGATTTAGGAAGCGCATGTACAGCAGTAAGAAATACTAGAATGTTTCACTAAATTCTATTTTTTACACATGAGTAGGCAACATGTGTCATCCACATGTTTCTGGCCTATGACTCCCACAAACCCTGACTACCATCCATACTAGCAGAAGCTGATGGGAATTTTACTGCAAAACATCTGGAAGGTCCCAGGATGCCAATCCCTGATTTGCATAGTAGCACCGCTGAAAACAAAATCCTAGACCAAAATTCCTTGCCTGACTTTGGACAGTGTTTGGGACTCACACGGCCTAGCAATGCATTTGTTATAACAGCAGCAACAATCAACATCTATACTTTCAAATATGCAAAGTGCTTCACTTGTGGGGATGTTGCAAGGATTGCAACTAGGTAATGCACAGTAAATCAGTCATATTGGTCCCCTATAATGTCGATCAACTGAGGCTGAGAGAAGGAGGGAGTTTTAGGACTTTTTTTCAAAAAAGAGAAATCAGTCCTAAAACTCCAAGCATGCCCCAGCCAGGGTTTCAGGGAAAGAATACATTCATCCAGGTATGCCTTCTCCAACTTAGCATCTCCCAGACCTGTTGGACTACAACTCTCAGCATTCCTAATCAGGCTGCTGGGACTTGTCGAGCAACTCATCCGGAAAGCACCAGCTCCGAGAAGGCAGCTCTGGGTGGACTTCCTCCCAGGCCAAGACAGCAAAAGGAGGGTGTCAGCCGTAACAAGAGTGTGCTGTCAGGCACTTTCAGGGCGGATGCAAGCTGCCCTTATCTGCAAAAAACCAGGGCAAGGAGCAAACTTTTAAAAACCAACTATTACAACATCCATCGCCTACCGTGTTACAACATGAAAATATATAATCTCATCTCTATCGAGGATCTAAGTTTGATCGATGCATCTCAGTCATTTTAAGTGGCTGTTACAGAGACACTTTCATTTTATGGCTGCCGCCCGCGGTCTTCAGAATCGGGCAGGCTGAAATAATATTGTCAAATAACTGCTGTTTTCAAATTCTCAGACGGCAGCCCGCGCCGCCATCCGCTGTCCCCCAAGCCCCAGTTCTCCCTCCCGAGACCCGAGGCTCGCACCGGTGCTGTGCTGCGGGGACGCAGCCCCCGTTGGCTGCTGCAGGAAGAGCCCCCGCAGGGAAACGAAGCGGATCAGCTCCACGACAGTCCCGAAGGTGAAAAGGAAGCTGCCCAAGGCCGGGACCATCAACAGAAGCAGCAGAGCCGCCATGGCGGGCAAAGGCGCTTCTCCCGCCGCCGGCAGGAACCGCCCCTCTGGGGGAGGGGCTTTCCCCGGAATCCCCACGCCCTCTCCGCACGTCACACGCGCGCGGCTTCGCGAGAGGGCATTCCTCGCTAGTCCCGCTCAAGGAGGGGGCTTCCCCTCACATTCCCCGGCCCGCCCACCGGCCCAGTGACGTCACACGTCAGGAAGAAGGGTCTCCTGTAGGGATCCCCGTTTGTCCCGTGGCGTCCCCCGGCTGCTACACTCGCAGCTCTCGGCGCCTTGGACGTCGTTTTCGGCGAACGGCGTATCAGGGAGCCAAAATTCCTCCTCGCACCCCCTCCCCTTGGCACAGAATTCGCTTCCCGGGATAATACTTATAGCGGAAACCGTCTGATTTCTCATAGCTCCCTAAAGCGTCTGCAGCTCTTCGCCGCCGGTCCAGGCACCACGCTTTTCATGCAGAATAAAGCGGACCCCAAACAACGGAAATCCAAGCAAACTTTAAACGCAGAAAAAACCCGAGTCTCACACTGAAGGGAGGAACAGAGGAATCCTCAGGATAAGTGAGTCTGGCTGAGGATAATGAAATGTACTCATAAATAAGTGTCTGTAGGAAGGTGCAACTTTATGACTACTTATCTTAGGAGTAAGGGCTATGAAACGGGCTTTTCTTTTTGCAACACTATCTCGGTGGTATTATAAGTATTTTTGATATTTCTATTGCTTTCTTTCAATCAAAACCGAATTCACAAGTTCCAGCTCCAAATAAAACATTATAAATGCGCCCCCTCCAAAAACAAACCAAAAAAACCATAGAGAAATAAGACTTCAGTATGTATCTAGCAAAAAGGAGCATAAAATATAGGACCAAAACCCTACAGCATTAAAAATAAAGTAACAATAGAAAACTTTTTAATCACTCACCTATGCATTAAAAGCTGGAATTAAAAGAGCTGTTTTGACCTGGTGCCTAAGACATAAACAGAGGACATCATGCCCAGTAACTTGTCTGAGGAGGGGGATCCCTAAACAGCAGAGGAGAATCATTTATGAATTCAAATAGTAAAAATCCAAGTCTTCTGCAGTTGGAAGGGGACATACTCATGTAAAGCTGGTTTCTAAAAGCACAGCTGGGGGCTATCTTTGTAGCTGCTTCAAGCTGTCTTTGTAGATGGGGTTTTGATCATAGTGTTGAATGGGATTTGTTCCCAAGTAAGTGTGTATAGGAATGCAGCTACTGATTTCCTTACAGTAGACACATAGCCTGCAAACCAACCTTACAATTGAGATAGATACAAGAATATAAATCATTTAGATGGTGCAAAATTCTGTCTTGCCCCTGATGGTTTCCTTAATTTCTGCCTTGTGGAGTTACCTATTCCGGCCTTTGCATGTTCCCTTATGGAGCACCAGCACGTGAAAAGTGTTATACCCAGTCACCATTCACTTCATCACCAAAGGCAGGAGCATTTGCAGATTGTCTCTGCACATGCAGGCAGATGCTGCTACTGCTCTTGTCGTTATGTGCTGTCAGTTTGTGTCTGACATGGAGGCCCTATGAATGAAAGCCCTCCAAATTGTCTTGCTCTTGGCAGCCCTGCTCAGCTCTTGTAAATTCAAGGCTGTGGCTTCCTTTATGAAAGCCATTCATCTTGTATTTGGTTGTCTTCTTCTGTCTTCAGCTCATCCTAGCTCAATTGTCTTCTCCAGAGTCTTGCTTTCTTATGTTATGCCTAAAATATAACAGCCTCAGTTTCATGATTATTGTTCCAGAAAGCAGGTTTGTGTGGGGGAACTTGAAGCCAGGAGAGGACATTTTCCACTGAGAAAAAAAGATTATGGAACAAATATCGTGGCTCTTTATGAATACCTCCCCATAGAGATGGAGTTCCAAACAGTAGTTTACTGGTTGCTTAGGAATATACTGTGAGATTTCTGCCTTTTTTGGCAGGGTGTGTATCTTTGAACAGCAGAGAGATAAACACACATCATTTTGTGAACTGCTTTTGAAAATGCCCCAAACAAGCCAGAGGCATAATTGGTTTTCAGAAAAACCAAAGTGAGTCAAGACCTTTTGAGCATGCAAATATACTACCTAGTTCTTCTCTTCTGACCAGAGCTTTTTGTGGTGGGAGATAATTTTGAATTAGTGCTGGTCACTGGCCGTAGTCCATATGTTCATGGTGCCAGTTGCTATATATATGAAGAGAAACTTGTTCAATCAGGTTAACCAGATCACAGAGATCTGCACGACCACTGCCAGTCACATCAAAATAGTGATTATTTGTTCAAAGTCCCCAGGACTGAGAACCTTTTAAAGGCAGAGGCAAGCAGAAGGCAGATTTCCAGATGTTTTGCACTTCAGCTCTCAACTTTCCTAACCTTTGGCCATGCTGATGGGGCTTCTGGGAGTTGAAGTCCAAAACATCTGGCAGTATATCTTCTGCCTGCCCTGTTTTAAAGTACTTCCTGTCCTGGCACTGCCCTAAACATTGTCTGCTGGTGGTGACAATTCACTATTGTCTGCTGGTGGTGACGGCTTGTTTCAACCAGTCTCTGGAGGGTGGTGAAGCAGTTGCCCAGCATATCCAGGCCACAAAGAAACAATATGTAAGGCACGAAAGGTGTCGCTGGCAAGTCTGTTGTATTCCCCTTCTTGGGTCAAATTGTCACAACCAAAGTCAGAGAGGAAGAAGCAGGCCTTAATTTGTCAAACAGGAGATGCCAAGTCTCACGTATACTTAGATGACACTGCTTTCCACCGAATCCCAGAGAACTGTCAGCTGTCTGTGGGTTGCAAGGGAGCGGTGCTCAGGCATTGTTCAAAAGCATGTGCCCAAAGTAGGGCAGAGGGAAAAATTGGAGGGCATGACAATGATAGGCATGGATAGCATCCTGTACTGGTAGAATTAAATTGATTTGTTTGGTTCGTGTTGCAAACCAGAGTGTCATTACAAGCAACTCAAATAAGCAGTCTCCATGAGGTCTAGTGGCATATGCAACCCAGCATGTTCGAAGATGCTTATTTCAGCACAGAAAGTACATCATGCACTAGTTGTGATATGTATATATAACATTAATTTCTATGCAGCAGCTCACTCTCCAAAACCAAAAATTCGAACTCTCATTAACAAGGTGTTCAGACCTAGACCTTTAAGAAAGGGGTGACTTGTCATTGGGTCATCCAAAAATGTGCCATTGGAAGACAAGTTCCAGTGTTTCAAATCAATTTAGGTCCTATAACATGACATAAATGTGTTATATTTCTAATATTTTATATACTGTATTTTTCTGTGTATAAGACAATACTTTTTCTTAAAAATATTTACCTAAAAATGGAAGGGCATCTTATAGATGGGGGCAAGAGGAGAACTGCAGGCATGCTGGGGAGGGGGAGACTGGCAAGATCGCACATGTGGGGAAGCGGCGGGTCCGCAGCAGCAGCTCGGTCGCTCAGGGATTGGTAAGAGAAATGGGGGGCGTCCTATACATGGGGGCGTCTTATAGACAGAAAAATATGGTAAAATAGATGTGTTATTTTCTTTATTTATCACAATATTTTAATTGTATTATTTTATCAATGTTATTATTGATATTGTATTGTAATGGTTGCCCAGACAGCATTATGCAAACAGGCAGCTTTTATACTAAATAAATACACATAGAGAGAAAATTGTATTGTTCCTATCAGAAATACTGGCCATTCCATCAGCCTTGCTAACAAACTTCTTTATTTTTTCCTCTTCCCTACCTGGACCTCTCTCCTCATGTGCCATGTCTTTTTCGAGTGAACACTTCATTTAACTGATGGTTTATAAGCCTCCCTGGAAGCCTTGGCTGAGGGTTACCCTTTTACCCTATGCAAGATTGTCCCCCTCACATCCCTTTTGCACTTCCTCTGAGGTATCAGGGCAAGATGCTGGATGGAGCTGGAGATGCAGGCATTCAAACTGCTTTCCAGGTGCGTGGGTGAGTTTTGACAAGGTCTGGCGTCTCCCTGATCGGCATGCTTGTGGTCAAGGAGACATTCCCTCTGTGTTGGACTGGATGTAACCATTCGTTTGCACCTTCCTGTGCAGTAGGGTTCTTGCTACATTTGCATGAATCATTCCCCCCTTGCCAGTTGTTTGCCCTGCAAATATTTCTGAGCCAAGCAGAACATCCACCTTGGCTTGGCCTGCATGATGCAGGGCGATCCGTGGGAGGTTGGCGAGTGGCAGTCCTGCCCTCGTGATACAACAAGGGATGCAGCGCAGGGCTGAGCCAAGCCCCTCGCCCCACCCAAATCAGGCCTGGGCCCAGAGAGAGGGGGAAGGCAGTGGGCAGCATTCCCTTGGAGGAGGCTTCTAAGGACATGTGCCCCCTGCCCCAGAGCTGCGTTAGTACTATTCATATGGCATTGCCCTTTTAGTTATGTATTTAGAATATTTTTTATCCCTTCCTATACAATCCAATTGTCTCAGGGCTGCTTACGATATAAATAAACAATAAATGCAAACAATCAAAGAATACAACAACAAGATGAAATGCGACTGAGGTTATTAATATTAATAAAACCAGATTTAAATTATTTAAGCTTTAAAATGTTGGGCAAATTAAAAGGTTTTTACCTGGTGCTGAAAAGCATATATAGTCGGTACCAGGCGAACCTCTCTGCAGAGCGCATTCCACAGTCGGGACGCCACTGCAGAGAAGGCCCTTCTCCTTTCACCTTGGAAGTCACTTAAAAGCTGGTACAGGCAGAAAGGCAGTAGACCAGAGATGTATTTACCACGTGGCTCTCCCACAGCTTTCAGAACCCCAAGAACTGTAGGAAGAAAACTGCTTTCCGCTGTCCCAGAGACTACCCACCCCCAGCAATCTCTAGGTTTAAACCTCCCCATCCCTGTGCAGAAGGTCCATGTATGTGTGCAGACATGCCTGTGAGCACTCCAGATGACACCGGATGTAGCCGCTGGGGCTGAAAGATCCTGCTCCTATTCCTGTGAAATGGCAGAGATGGA